CCCAACCGGCCATCCCCGGACACACCCAACCCTGAAGAAGCGACGAAAAAGATGAAGAAGGAAGGGTACTAATGCAATTTTCCACCGATCCCGATTTCCCGGAAGTGGCCCAATCTTCCCAGCTTAGGACCCCTCGTTGCAACCGCGCAGAAAATCGCGCGTTACAGAAAGTGGTTCGTCACATATGTGACGCCCAGGGGGTTCCAATATTAGCAAGCTCTTGCTTGCTTGTTGACACGTGTCGATTTCTCTTCCCCGGATGACCTGGCACTGATAGACTACATGACTGAACTCGATCTCTGTGATGCCTTCAGACTAATGCACCCTTCAGACCAGGGCTACACCTGGGGTTCCCCAGCCAAGGAAGGTGCTGCAGTTGGTGTGCTCAGACGCTTAGACTATGGATTACTGAGTCCTTCCTGGTGGGAGGCAGCATTGAACGTGGAAGTGATAAGACATTCCATGTCAGATCACTACCAGTGAAATTCACACTACAGATGACCGAGCTAATTGACAAAGGAAGCGGGTTCTTCAGGCTGAATGTGCAAAATCTTAAGGACCCAGGCCTCACGGCCTGTGTCGAATCCTTTTTCACCAAATGGCCGATAGCCCAGAAATTCTTCCAATCGGCAGGCGATTGGTGGGACGCAGGGACTGCTATTGCGGGTAATTTTCTCAGTATTTTTTCCAGAATCCTGGCCGCGGAACGAAACAAAGAGGAACAGGCTATATTGAAAGACCTTGAGTGGGTGGAAGATCGCATGAAAGCCCACCCAGTCTCAGCTTCAGTTTGGGCCTCAGAAAGGATAAGGCTGCTCGCTAAATGGGAGGATTTACAACAAAAACAATCTGACGAATGGGCGGAGCGCCTGACTATTAAAGGCATTTCGGTGTATGACCGGACGTCGAAAGAATCCTTCCAGCGCCTATTACCCAGACGGGCGGCACAGTTGATGAAGCAACTCAGTCACCCGTTCGTACCCCAAGCCCGCCCAGCGACCTCCTCGAGCACTATGTGCACATACGCAACCTTATACTTCAAGGACATCCTTACGACACGCAGGCCGGGAGAGCTGGCGGACGCTGATCTGTCAAATGGTTCCACCCACTGGGACAATATCTCGGTACGCCTCACCCACACGGGAAGGATAAATTTGGATAGACTTGTTACAGTTGAAGAATTAGAGCAGACCACCAAGTGTATGGCAAAAGGAAAGTCACCGGGGGGCGATGGCCTCCCGGTGGAGTTCTACCTACAGCACGGAAAAGTGTTGTTCCCACACCTAGCACAGATCTACAACGACGCCCTCACAGGTGGACAGCTGTCAGGAGGAATGGTTCATGGGGTGATCTCCATTATGTACAAAAAAGGAGATAAGGCGGAAATCAGAAATTGGCGTCCAATTTCGCTCCTAAACGTGTCATACAAGATCCTAGCTAAACTTTTGGCTAATAGGCTAGGGAGATATCTTCCGGATTTAGTAGGACGCGATCAAGCAGCCTTTGTACAAGGAAGATCCATATTCGACAATGTAGTTACTGCCATTGAGGCCTTGGAATGGATCCAACAGGAGAATCTGGATTTCGCAGTCTTCCTGCTGGATTTGGAAAAGGCCTTCGACAGGGTGAACTGGGCCTATGTGCTCACCACACTGAGGATTCTCCAGTTTGGCCCAAATTTCTGTCGTTGGGTGTGTGTTTTGTATGCCTTCTCCACTGCGGCCGTCACGGTAAATGGACACATCTCCCCCCAGTTCTCCCTCAGCAGATCCTTGAGACAAGGCTGTCCCCTTGCACCGCTCCTGTTTGTAATACAGCTAGAAGTATTAGTATGTAACATTAGACAACACCCACTATACTGCGGCCTCCCGGTACAGCACACTGACTGTCGAGTCAAGGCGCTGGCAGATGACCTCATGACCATCTCAGAAAACACTGCAGACTCCCTCCATGCACTGAAATCCTGCCTCACCGAGTACGCTAACCTCTCCGAAGCAGCAGTGAACTGGTCCAAATCGATCTACTTCCTCTCGGACAACTATGTACTATTAGTGGACTGGGGTATGAAGAGGGTTCCCAGTGGAGGATCAGAACGATATTTGGGAGTGTTGGTAACCAGCGAAGTTTTTGTGGAAGCCGTTTGGTAAACAGGAAGAAGGTTTCATCACGAAGGTGGCATGGGACCTGATTTGCTACCCTCGGGAAGAAGGCGGTCTAGGGATGCTAGATCCGGCCACACAGAACGCAGCGTTGCTGGTCAAATGGCTCGTGAAAGCCGTTTCAGGGGCGGAAGACAAGCACTGGATCTTATTGGCAGAAATGATTCTTGCTAAGAACTGGCACATTCCAAGACTGCGTGATGTATGGACCTGCTGCATGCTCGACTCTTCCCTCAGAAGACACAACCCCTCCCTGTTTTGGAGGGACGTCCTGAATGCTTGGAAGAAGGTGGGCCCTCGACAATGGGTCTCACCTGTCACACGCGAGGAAGTCCTCATGCAGCCGCTTTTTGACAACCCTGCTATTCTCAGTGATAGAGGTATGCCTTTTGCAGCAAGTACCTCTCCAGAGGCGTTTGGCAGAGCCTGGATTGAAAGAGAAGTCCTATTGGTGGCCGACCTGTGGAATGAGTTAACCRGACAGTGGTACACAGATGAAGAACTCGGAAACAAGTTGGGAAGACTGGGAAGGGTACAAGAAAGAGCGGCCCAACTGAGGGCCGCAATCCCCCCGGAGTGGAAGTTCCTTCTCAGTCCTGAAGGAACCCCCCCTCTGGGAACCTGGTTTACTGCATCTCATTCGGCCCAAGAAGACACGGAGAACCCAGCTCTGATGTGGAAGCTCCTAGCCACAGAGGCAGATGGAACCAGAAGATTTCAGGCATGGGAAAGGTGCCCTGGGACGGAGCGACTGAAGTGCTGCGATGCAGACRATGACTTAGATGCCGACCGAAACTCAAATCCCAAGGGCCACAGACCACTCGGAGTGCTACAGCAAGTTAGAGTGCGAGAGGAGTGTAAGGAAGATGGCACTTGGACCTGTGTGACCTGGGCAGATGGAGTTCCAGTAAGGACTCTGCGCCTAGACCCTAAGCTTTGGTCGTGGCGAGGATCCAGCAAGTTCCCCGAAGGCGCCTGGCTAACAGATTACAACTCTGCTGGAGGCTATGACTTGCTGCGYGCAGGTCGAGCACCCATGACAGTAGCAATCTCAAGATGGGCTCAGGTCTACCCGTCAGAAACAGACACTATCAGTATGGAGTTGAAACGTTGCTGGGCACARCTTCMAAAAATCCCAATGCCCAGGGCCGCAGCACTTCTGTGGCTACTATCACTGCTTGCCACCCCCTCAGCGGTATGGTTTGCAGCACGAGGTATGGAAATTCAGATCCAATGCTCCAGGTGTAAGTGGCCTTTCGAGTCCACAATTCACCTGTGGTTATTCTGTCCGCTGTCATTGAGAGTTTGGGATTGGTGGAGGACGCAATGGGCTCGTATCAGTGGGCCCATATTCGACTGGAGTGACAGATGGATACTTTTTGGGGGTGTTCCAGAGGGATTTGCTCTGGACAAAGGCTGGGGCTATGTGGCCCAAGCCCTCAGAGCTTGTCTATTCCTGGTARTGTGGGAAGTCAGGAATAGAAATGCCTTTGAAGGACGCTTTATCTCTGATAAAGCTATCAAAGCGTCAGTCAAGATGCACATCCGGAGATCAGTGAAGATCGACTGKAGGCGCAAAGTTATTTGTAATCAGCGGAAAAGCAGCGGGCTGTCTTGGTTTGAAGAGACATGGGCCTGCCAGGGTAAGTTGGCAAGGATAGAAGGAGGTAATTTAACATTGGACTGTTGGTTACTATCGAGTGAGTCGTAAATACCTGGGCACTCGGTTCTACCTCCGCAGTAGGAGGGCAGCAGAAAGAGGGAAGTTGGGTCTGGAGGGAGTGTCACGGCTACTACGGAATCGGATGTTCCTTTACCCCGAGTTAGGGGCAAGTTGTGATTTAGTCATTGAATCGTTATCAGAGGAGCGTTCCTCTGGCGGGCTTCTCCCGCAAGCGAAACTGGGTAATGCTCCCAGAAGTTACTTCTTCCGGGTAGACTGTGGGGACCCCGGCCTCATCTGATTTGGTTGAAATTGAATTGCAAAGTTAAGAAAAAAAAAAAGAAAAAAAAAAAAANAAAAAAAAAAGAAAAAAAAAAAAAGAAAAAAAAAAAGAAAAGAAAAGAAAAGAAAAGATACTTGCCCAGGGGCAAAGTCCCACTAGCAGGGTTGAGGTAGCTCAACGCGTGAATCTGGACGTGTTTGTGGAGACGTACAGCTCAGGAAACTCAACACCATTTCTGCACATCTGGGCAAAAGCGTCCACATTCAGGCGTTGAGGTAGCTCAATGCTGCTAGTGGGACTTGGCCCCAGGGGCCATCCCAATCTTCTCGGTAACTGGTACGGTCATACCATGCGAATTAGTACGGTCATTCCACGCATGGCCCCTGAGCATTAGTACGGTCATACCAGGGCGTACGGTCATACCACGGCTAATGCGCCTGCTCCCATCCTTACTGGGAAGCCAAGCGCCGTTGGGCCCCAATGGGAATTGTACTGGGATGGACGGTGACCTCCTGGAGCGTGGTCCCACTAGCCACGAGGATCGGATTGAATGCCTGAATCAGGACCTGTTTGTGCACAGGTGCAGGAAATCGAGATTGAACTGCTTTTCTGCATCTTTGCGTAAACACATCCAGATTCGAGCATTCAATCCGATCCCTCGTTGCCTGTGGCCCCTCGGCCCTGTTTTAAGTCCCGGTGCTGTACCTACAGCCAAGCCAGCTATCTTCTTTCTCTCTGTATCGTTCCAGTGTCTCGATGGACTACCTCTCTATTCCTGCCTTGCCTGTCTGTTGGGCTTCCTCCACCACTCACCGAATGCCAACATTCTGAATGAACAACAACTCCCAGTCCGTCCAGATACGTTAGGAATGTTGCGATCTGGCGAGCGGAGCGGTTAGGCCCTGTATCTGTTTCCTGTGTCCGGTGTGCATGCGAGTGTTTCGTGAAGAGGAGAGAGAGATAGATAGATAGATAGAGAGAGAGAGAGAGAGAGGATGGCTATGGCTTCAGGTCACAAGTTTGCCAACTTTTTTCCGAGCGTGTCGGACTCCAGTGTGCAACAGCAATCGCACGATCTGCCCGCCTATTTTAACTCACGGCGCGCTTTACTTGTCGGACCACCGCGTAGGTCTGCGGATTTTTTATTCCCCCGCCCCCCCCCCTCTCCTCCCTCCTCTTCCCCCCTTTCCCCCTTCCCGCCCTGCTTTTGGGAAATCAGCGCGCGCAGCATAAAGTGGTCTGCCATCTCTCTGTTCTGTGTGTGCGGGTTCGAACTCGTCCCTCTTTCTGGGGTAAGGTCCCAAGAGGAGGATTGGATTAAGCTCCTGAATCTGGACGTGTTTTAAGCAGAGGTGCAGAAAAGGAATTCCGTCTCGATTTTCTGCACCTTTTTCCCAAACATGTCCAGATGCAGGCATTCAATCCAATCCTCTTTGCTAATGGGACCTCGCCCCTGCTCTATGGTCTGGTTAATTAAACCTTTGTGTAGAGATGTCTTCTCCCCTCTGCTCTCTGCGCTGGCTTTCCTCGCGCGTTCTTCTTTTTCTTTTTCCCTAGGAATTCTTTATTTATTCTCTCTCAAAAAAAAAAAAAAAAAAAAAAAACCCGGGAAT